CGAGCTGCTCAATAAAGAAGTTCGTTGTGAACAGCCAGCAAGAAACTAAACAGGCCTTCCCCGCTCTGCTTGGATACGCGGTGGCCGTTGTTGTTGTTGCAACCGTTGCCGTTGTGACAAGCTCGTTCCATGGTTCGACCGAGCAGCCGATCAGTCGTGGTAGCAGCTCTCGAATTCTCCTTCTACCCGAGCAAGGGTCCGGTCCCCGATTTGACGTAGACACACACTGATTGACTGACTGACTGACTCGCGGAGAAGGATGGCGAACTATAAGCATGGATCCTCAGTGAACTTGCCGTTGATCTTCGCCGTCTCGTGATTTATGTTTGCTCGGCGGCATTTTTCACTTCGGGCAGTATCAAGAACAATTATTTTTGACAACATCGAATATATGAACGTCGCCTCGTATAGAACATCGCCGGAGCTCAGCCCCGGATGATTCGGAGCGACTGGATCTGAAGCGGAGGGAAAGAAATTCATCGATTCCGAAGACTGTCGATATCTTCCGGTCGAAGGGCACCGGATAACGAGTCAGGGTTATTGGCATTGGGAGCCCAGGGAGCAATTGAGTAGAAATAAATTCAATTGAGACAATCATTGGAGGAGATGAGGTCGGAATCTAGAAATCGAAGGGAATGTCCGGGCACTCCGGGGAGCCCATGGTTCCTCGTTGGCATCCTTTGCACCGATGATGTCGGACGGGGAGCACAGAAAAGCTCCCTGTACCGTCAGCGTTTCCTCCTGGAGCTTTTCTTTTTCACCTGACTCCGTTACTTGAATGAGTAGAGCACAGACGTCTGATGCGGCTGCACTCGGAGTAATTGGACTAACGAACAATTCGTTTCCGTGTCTATAAAATTAGTTTCGCGAAAACTTGTTAAAGAATCGTACAGCTCAGGACCTAATGAACTTATTCCGGCTCAGAACAAGTCAGTCAGACAGACCCTAGTGGTCTGTCTTACTATCCGCCTCATTCTCTTGCCTGCATCATCGGTGTCCCGAGAACGTTGATTTTCCCTGTTTATCGCGATACAACGTCTAGCCCTACCGAATGACGGCGAAATCCTCGAAACTACTGATTCTCTCGCGGTTACCGTCACTGGCGCCATAAAAGTTCAAACAAAAAAAAGACGAATGTATAAGAAAGAGCAGATGCAGAAAGCGCTTTGAGCTCCTCACTTCCGTTTATGACGAAGGAGCCACTCCTGCGTTGATTCAACTACATCGAAAGATAACAATTGTATTTAAATAGTCGACCGGTGATAGCGGTATCCATCCGCCAGCTAGCCAACCAGCGAACGAGTAAGCCAGTCAACTAACTAGACTGGGCTGCTGTTTTCACTCGGTCGAGACTAGATTGTCTCCTCAGCAAGCGGCTCCGCGCAGGCTGACGTAAAGAACGCCGATGCTGACCCTGGACATTGGTTACCCTTCGAATTCCAGAGGATCCGTCATAACGCAACGACGCTTGATTACGGCTCGATTAATACTTATCCCAAATAGTTTGAATCGAGATTTATATTCAAATTCACAGCTCGTTCATATCTCATTCGAGGAAGATCTTGTGGCATCGGGCAACGCTAAGGCTGGGTTCGATGACGAAATTCCTTGAGTATTTCTTGTTCGATTGATGCTTTCAATATTTCAATCAGACGGAGCACCGGCGGTGGCGGTGAACCACTCAATATTCGTCACTTGGGTTATACACCTTACTTTGAAGACAAATGCGCCGGCGCTGTCAGAAACCGCCTTAGCTTAGTGTTACCTGGCCCTCAGAAAAAGAAGGAACACCGACCCGGTAGGTATGCGAAATCTCGACCGTCCGACCGACCGCAATAGTCAATCCAATCGTCAAACACTTCTCCATCGGACCCTATGGCAGTCACAACGAAGAAAGGCGAACAATCAACGAAAGTAACTTTCGATTCTGCCCTCCGGCTCCCCAGATCAGGAAGGAGCGCTACACGAAAAAAAAAATGGTGAGCATTCACAGGATGAGAATACAGATTTGACCCCAGATCGTTGAACCTGCATCCAAGTGCAATACACCCTCGCCAGAGTCGGTTTCGCTTTTAAGACTTCAGACATGTATTCACGGATGATTTTTTCCCTCTTTCTGATGTCAGAGAACCCCGTCGAAAAAAAAACTCAGTTCGACCTTCCTACAGGAAATCCTGGCGACGCTCTTCGCTCGGGGTCGAAGCAAGACTCACTGACAGAAGGCTCGTGCGCTGGCTTGCAACGGATTCGAGCCCGCTCCCTACCAGAAGCTCGGGTCGCGGTCTCTTCTCGATCCTCACAGGCCGTAGAGTCTCTTTTGGAAAACTCAAACGTAGGGACGTTATCATCAATCGGCACTCGAGCGATCAACGCGAGGCCAGAAAACAGTTCTGTCCACCAATTGCAACTCCTTGGAATTCTTGAGCGCGTTTATCTGCCTTGACTAATAGGACCAGATCAATGCGATGGAAAGGCAGCCAAGTAGATTTTCAGCAATCATCCAACTACGATGCTCTCTGACGGCGACGCCGCTCGTGAGTTTCACACGAGCATCAAAGGTTTCGGAGTGGCGTTGATTCTCCACGTCTCCAAAGAGACAATACCTGATTCGAGATGAGCGAATGCCTGCTTGTTTGCATCGTTCGCAGAACGAACCAGCGATTGCCTTGCAGTAAACATCACTTCGCCGAAAAGTTTCCTCCTCATCTTGTTTTGGTTGACGACGAGAGACGCTAACCGGGGCATCGTTTGATTCTCAGCGGAGCTCGGGGCCTTTGAAGCGAACCTCTACATCCGACCTCCGAGTCGGCGCCCACCGACAGGCGGGCTGTGCGTACAGTAGGTTCGGGGGAAAATTTTTTCCCAACACGAATATCGCCTTAAGAAAGAAAAAACCCAGGGAGGAAACCTGGTTGACCGCGTAATCCTTCTTGTGGGTCTCATGAGGGTCTCGAAATCTGTAGCGTTCAGCTGACATTCGAGCCGGGGGCGACCTTCAAGGCATTTGAGGTCCCACGGTCTACAGGTGCTGTCGGCCGGCGTTCTGAAGAACGCTCGTTGAAGTCAGTTCTCAGGAAGTTGTTGGGGGTGGTGTAGCCGATGCGTGTGTGTTGAGCATTGGGTAGATTTGAAGGGTCTTCATCTCCTTCTTGGAAAGCCATGGTTAATCTTGGAGGGCGAAACCGAGTTGAGCCTTCACACCGCTACCAATGGAAGGATGAAAATACTAATAGGCTGTAAAGTTTTTTTTAAGACCGAGCATACGCGCTTTCGACGTCAGAAGTGGGGAACTAAAACAGAGCCGGGAAGATCCGTGATCTATATGAAAGCCGCGAACTCGGCAAGACGAAATCCTGTTGACCGGTGTCTCGGGACTCGGGAGTCGACTTTTGAGCTGCACTATCTGTTGGCAGTCATGATAAACCCGTGTATGGAGCGAGCGAAACGTCTGCTGGAGAATTGATGGATATAACCGACGACTCCTCACCGTTGTGGGTTGGTCCGTGTCCTCGGAGGGAATTTCAAACAGGGAAAAATGTCATTCCATCTCTTCCATATTGCGTCCCTTTTGAGCTCCATAGTCGAGAATTTCCGTTCGGGAGACTGGGATTAGTTGACTTCGAAACTAAGGCATCTCTCTGGAACACGATACTCATGTTCTTGAATGGCAAGGATTGATTGGGCGAGACCTACTACATAGGAAGATCGTACGGGTCGATGCGGAGCCTTGAGCTCGTAATCCGCTTGCATGCTTCCTCATGTGTCCTTTGGATTAATTGCCCCTTCGTCTTACTCCTTCCTTCGCTCCCAATCTCCCCGCATAGCATTCTCTGTCTCTCTATCTCGAATGTCAGATGACATTTCCTGGGCCACTACAGAAAGTAGAAGCTTTTGAAGAGTATCGAGCGTGGTACGTCTACCACGAACGTAGAAATCTACCACGGCGATATCGAATGGGAAATCGGAAGTTTTCTCAATGACCTTCCTCTGTTCAAGTGGCAGGACCTTAGACCTCCTTCATTAGAAACCTATGTAACCAGATCTCCGCGGAACGCGAAAACAGATAGTCTCGCGCTTTTTCCATTTTCTCTCTGTCCTCTACACATCGAACGGACCGTATCTAGCGAGCGCGCCGCTCGTCGATTCAGGCGAGCAAGTCAATCTCGGTCTTCGAATGTTCATCGCACTGGATTATTATATAGGTAAGTATAATATCGGCAGACGAGGCTCTGATTCGCTTCTGATACATGGGTTCAAAATCACGTCATGCCCGCGAAGGGAACCCCTCCACCGAATCGGTGCAGTTATATCCTTTTCGCGATATCGAGAAGTCCGAGAATGCTCTCCCGTCTGAATTCCCCCGCGATCTTCGAACCTTCGCGATAAAGTAGATGACTACTCGTAACCTGAGCCTTTCGTGAACCTTACACAAGCTGTCCCGGCCATATTGGCGGAAGACTACAGAAATCAGGAGCAAAGACAAGAGGAGAACGTTAAGATTCTGTCTTTGATTCAGGAAGCAGCCGATGGCTTCTGATATTCGAAGCAGATCCCCGAAGGCACGAGCTCAAGCAGACGCGTCGGCGGCGGCGGCAGCCGCAGCTGTATTATGCCACGGAGGATGTCGCGAGCTCCTTATGCCTGAACTTCGTGAGCATCTGTGAGGTGCATCTGGTGTCCTTTTCTCGAGGCCATCCTTCTGAAATCGCGTGTACGGCGCGTGCCAGCCGTTTCGATCTTCAGCCAATAGCCATGTTGAGTCCCTCTCCATGCTGGGCGAGAAGCTGAGCTGAAAGGCGGTGCTCCGCGTTAGACCCGACCGCTACTCCGACTGCTCGTTCAGACCTTTTCAAAAGATCTCCGAACTTGCACGTCGGTCACGGTGTTGGAGACATTGGTTCTTTGACGTTCCACGTCAAGAGTGCGGAGTGTGTTTACGAATCAATACCCAGAGTGTCTCCGATCTTCTTCCCTGATCCTGGAGAATAAGCGGAAGTCCAGTCGGACGGACATCGGATGAGTTCTGTAGTCGGCAAATGCATCGAGGAGATCTATCGTTCGTGGTAAGTACGACGTCGAAGAGTCGAGGATTCCGTCTGTTCGAATACCAGAAATCGATTGTCTTATGACGCCAGAACTTCGGTCTATCTCTACACTCTGCATACAGTGCACGCGGTCTGGAAGACTGACCGGATGAATGCTGTCAAGAACTCCCGTGGAGCAATGAGAACAACGGTGAATAATGCAACATTCGAAGCACCGCGGATTTGTTCCCAAACTCCCTCGCGGACAGCGGAGGAGTTTTTGCCATCGGACGATTCACCGCTGCTGCTCTGAAGACTTCTCTGATGCCGTCGGCTCGAAGTGTTCTATTTTTTGCGCTTTTCTGTCCGAAGATCGAGAACCTCACTCACTCTTTCACTCAGTCAGTCCGTCAGTTAGTTCACGGTGAACGCAACAATGTTTTGGTGAGCGAACGCCCGTTAACTCTGACTGACAACATTTCCTCGGGATCTTTTCCAATCCCTTCTATTCTCAATGCTTTTGTGTTTATTTAAGCGTGAAGAAAACCTCTCGTATTCGCTTATTGTTGGGGGAATTCTCGCTTGCGAAGCGATTCCATCCGTCTTCTTTCGACGGACACTCGAGCCGGGGGTCAAACAGAATCAAATCCTACTGAGCGACCACGGACGTCAGCAACACCGTCGCTGTTACCGTCATTGATGGCGGCAGCATCAACAACACTGTTATTCTTTCCAATGTAGTTTTCCCTGGTGCTAGCGAGACGATAAAGTCGGAAGCAGAGAATCATTCTTAGACATCGGCCGTCTGGAGTAGTGTGTTCGGTCAGCGGAAAAAAACTAAGCAAGTGCTTGCTCGCGGAACTGAAGCTTTCCGACGATGTCCGTGATTTCCCTTAGGTGCTCACCTCTCCATTGTGCCTAATAGTCCAGTGTTGGGATCGCTCAGATTTAGCCCGACAGGGTTCAAATAGGGGACGCTCCATGGGTACGTCAGCTCGCAGCTGAAATTTGGATCCACCTGCGCCTTTCAGGTTTGCCCCTACCCTACCGCTTAGCGCTAACGTCCCTGGACAGCCCAGGGGACGTCGAAGTTGCTGACGACGAATACGGCAAGCAAACCATGACTCCAACGGACGCACGAGCTCTATGTGGATGAGCTAGATCTGTCCGTTAATCCGTTTGTGTGCCGGCTCCCGATCTGTCAGTTATTCAGACTAGCGGTGGTCTGCTTTTGTTGAGCTGAAATACGGGAGACTGCGAAAGAATTGTGTCTGACGCAGACTACAACGTTCATATGAAAGATTCAGCAGATGAAAACCCTTAAGACGGAATGTCGGAACCTTGGTCGCTTCAAACCACGCATTGGCATACACGAACGTCGGAAACTTCGTCTCTACCCCTTCTACAAACTCTGAAGACGTCAGCGCTCCACTGAATGCTGTGGACTGGCGGATCGATCGGCCGACTAAGTGACTGTCTTGCTGACTATGTAAAGGGGTCCGATCGCGCGGTAATTTTCATTCTGGGATTTACGGCAAATGTAAATAAGTCATTTTGAAATCGACGCCCCGCTCGGTACTTTCCGCGGAAGAAACAGTTCGGCTGGGAATCGTGGCGGGTACCATCGTAGATCAGAACTCCGCTGCTGTTGACCGTACGAATCCAAGCGCCTTCGTCTGATGGGAAATCGTGGGATCGTTTAGTGACGATTTCCCTCGACTGATCCCTCTCTTGTATTCTATGCCGGCGCGAGAAAGTGTCTCATGGAAAATTCTGATTGTTGAGGTCAGTCCTTCCGTACGATAAGGGATCTGTTCGCGGTGTCGACGATCCACGGTAGCGCATTCATTCAAATGGCAGATCCAAAAAGACAGTCGGTCGCCGCGCCAGCTACGTTCTACTCCTTCAACTAAACGTCATCTGATTGATGCATTCGACTCGTTGACCGTAAGCGGAGAAGTAAGGAAAGAAGAAGAACAGCATTTGGCAAAAGTCTTCGATGATGACAAGCTACTGCGCCATAGACGAACGCTCTTTAAAAACACATCATCGCACAAGTCGCGAACTCGACGATTCTCACGCGGACATCTAGAAGTCGCGTCGCCGTCCGAGCGAAATTTAAAATCAAATCGAAGGAGGGGGGCTGTGAGAATATCGACGGCGAAAGAGCGGGCATCCGAACATATTTCAATATCGAGCAGCGAACGTTTGTTGTCGCCGACGCCATCGTATCGTTTGTCCGATCGTAACAGAATCCCTTCTGGTGGAATACATGCGGAAAAGTCCAGCGATGACATTGAGCTCTTCGATTCGGCGTAACCGCCGGCTATCAGTCCCGCAGTCGACACTCGCGCGCCCGCGAGTCCTCGGTCCTTGCTGCGATTGATATTGTTCTTCCCGTCGGCTCGTACAGATCGGCGACGGATTGACAGAAAGACTGTCAGTGCCCGTTGGCTAGGCGGGTTTGCCATCTATCGTCCGCGGTCTTCTGTTGCCTGGCATTGTCTCCCGAGGGTCTATCTCCCGCAGCTGCCCTGAACTTGTTCAAGAATGGGACCGATAGTTCTATTCGGCGAACGGCCTTGAGCCAGATAATTCCCACATGAAAGTGATTTTGGGAGAAAAGCCGCCTTGAAAAGAGAAAAAGTTAGAAAAACGCAGCAGATCCTAGAGCTGACGGAGACAGCCGCTCAGAGTTCGATTTGACCGTTTTCCGCGTTTTCCCTGAGAAGTTCCCCCCTCGGAAGGGAATTGCCAAACATGTGTACTGTAGTTTGCATGTAGTTCTCAGCGATCTCTCCTTCCTTCCCACAGACGGAATCGACGTCCAGCAGAACGTGTGATTAAACTCGGGAGTCGCCGGAAATTCAGCAACATGAAGCCGACTCTCCAACAAAAGAAGAAGGACGACAAGCTGATCACCATCCAAGTGGATATACCGACAGAAGAGAACTTGGACGTTGTCGAGTATCATGCCGATAACTATTCTTGCAAGCCACCTCCGGTGTTCATCTTATTTGTCACGCTAGTCGAGGTAAGTTGAGGCTCTTGACCCCCTCCGATGAAGTTTTTCGTTCTTGCCTAGCAATTCTTACGTCCGACGCCGCACAGCTGGTGTTCGTCTCCACGCTTTGCCAGTTCGAGCCGAGGCGCGCAGCACGCCGCGCATCGTTGCTACTGATCCTCGTTGCTTTTATTGTGCTTCAGCGTCTAGCTCGAATCTACGTAGTCATCGAGGTGTACGATCGAGCTCGATTACCATGACGATGCCTAATGAGTAGATTGGGCGGGAGCACATGAACATGTTTTCATTGGAGCCCGCCGATTGCGTGGGAGCAGACTGGGATAGTTCGCATTGGATTGTTTATCGTTGGGGCGCCGAAGGCGCCGCAAAAAAAAAGAAACTCCGCTCAAGCACGTCGGATGCGAAACACGCTTGCGGGAAACAAGTGGATTGAAAAATCCAGCGGGAGGTGTTCCGGTCGAATTTTGGCTCTGCCTTCGGCACAAGTCGAGCCGCGCTAGCAAGCTATAGGGATCAACTGCGGCGGCGGCTAGGCAAAGTGGGCCACTGCTAGCACCGAAATCAGCTCAGACGACTGATTTGCCGTTATATTTTTCCCACTCACGCAGCAACAATGAACGGCGCCCTTAAATGAAAACGAACGACTAATAACGAACCAACGGACGGGAAGGAAAATGAAACAGCTCAGCGTGGTGTTAGCTTTTGTGGATCGAGCCGTTGTGATCCCAAAACCGAATCATCTCAACGCCTGCGTGTGCGGAATCTTCCGCGTCTAGAGCGAGACCCTCGAGCGCTTCGAGAATCTCATAGGGCGCGGACCTACACGCATCGGTCGAAAGGCCTAGACCTGGCCGAGAATACGAGCTGGAGTAAGAGCTGGAATGATGTCAACTCTCTTTGGAAGTTGAATGGCTCTTCTTTTCCCAATCCAACACGGGGGAACCCAGGTGTGCCGTGAGCTTCCGCTGCTCGACAGAGTCGCTCGCTCGCTCAGTTCACAGTAGTCTCTAGCTCCCCACCTCCATCTCGCTGCGTCTCGCGTTCGCTCACTCCCTTGCTTATAAATTACATTTGTGCTGCTATTTCGGGCTTAGGTTGACAGCGCCGTTTGCTGTAGATCGATCGGGAAGGAAGAGAGCGAGAGACATACGACTGAGAGTTCTTTTTTTTTCGTTGCTGACTCTAGTTTTCCTCTCTCGCCACATATTGTTTTCCTGGCAGTTCCCCTACGTCTCACAGCACGGTGCAGACACGTGGTGCGTCCGATAATTCCACGAATCAACCGGCCGTCTAATTACGATATGTTTACGCCTGGACGCGACTGGTCATCTGTGTACCTACGTACTGTTAAGAGAGTCGCGACTTCGCGCGCTATCCTTCTTAGTCGCCGGGTGCGACCGGCGCTGAGTGGCAAAAACTTGTGGCGAACTTTTTACCAAAGTGCTGCTTATCGGACACCGATCAGAGAAAACGCAGTTGACAGCAAAGCTTTCCCGGCTGCCGAAAACTGACGAAAACGATCAACGATCACACGAGCGGAGAGTTTTATAGAGCGTCCAACCGGACGGACGGACGCTCGCTCGCCCGGTCAACCTACCTCGGAGCCGACCGGCGCGGCGGATCGATACCGATTGCGGCAACAACAAGGCGAATTCTGCATAAAAATCCGGCTACTTCTCCCCCCTACGCCCGCCACGGAGTCTGTCGGAGGAGCTGGTCATGCGGACAGCGCGCCAACGGAAACATTGCTCCCAAACGGGCCGATCGGCTGTGGACACCGATATAGAGATTATTCCCTCGACGAATTCTGGAAAGCACTGTGTGGCCTTCTGAGCGGTGCATTCATCCACTGGAACGACGCGACGATCGCCGCTCTCTCGTGAAGCCTTCGACGAGCGAAATCGTCATTGAGAATCCTTGAGCGAATCCCGAGCTAGCACGGGCGAAGACAGGCTATATCACAGATGAGAGGAAACGCCGTTTTCTCGGCCGGTTCAGCGAAGAGATTCTTCTCAATATGTCATCGCAGATTAAAGATTAGCTGTTTGTAGCGGCCATCTGGGCGAGTCTATCTCCGAACGTCATCGTACCAAAACCATTCAGAACATATGTGTTAATTGCTCACGAACTGGCGGATTCGGATAGTCTACTCGGTTGTTCTTTGGACGTCCCGTTTTTTTTCTTGTTAGACTGTCTGTCTGTTTTCCGAAAGCCTCCGGGAGCCCTCGATGTTCCACGCGGAAAATCCAAGCGACTCGATTTTATATCAGGGCTCGCTTTCGGAAGGCGAATCCTGTGTTCTTGGTCGAATATCAAGCAGACTTCACGCCTCAGTGATGCTACCAGTCCGTATATCTGTTCGTTTGTCCGCCGCCACCGCCTTCATCCGAACGAACAGCCCTCATTAACGACGTTGGCTACGCGTGATAGAATTTCTCCTTCGGCTGTGAGTCTCTCCGCCGTCGTCGGCTGCTCCGGTGGAGACGCTCGATCGGATTCTTCTCGGATTTTCGGAGCGATATTCGCCTGCTGCCGCTGTCGCCGTCACCGAAATTTATGCAGCGAACGGAAATTTCGTTTTTTCCAAAGTGATCGTGGCTATCCCCCGAGACCGAAAGAATAAAGCTTGTGCGTGTGTTCCTCGCCGAGGGAAGAATTCGGACGATAAAGTACGGTGTAGAAGTACCTTTCGCGAACTCGATATCCAACCGGATTTCGGGCGGTCAGCCGGGCAGCGATCGTTGCGGTGGCGGATCGATCGGAAAACGTTCGATCAAGCGTCGAGCCGCTGGATAACAACAGCAGCATTGGATAACACGCGATAACGCTAACGACTCGCGGAATTTGGCAGTCAGTGAGATGTACTTGACGGCCTTGCAAGGCCGCTCGGTTCCGCCTTGATCCAATCCGGCTATGGACGTAGCCATGGCGCGTAATCGGACGGCTTGATATTGGCCGCTGCCCCGGTTTTAATCGGGCAGGCGACCGCCGTTGTCGTCCCCATCATCAGAAAAGCCTGTCCGACAGAATACCCTATCCATTGTTGGCACCGAGCCGTCTGTATAACGTACGGCTGCACGACCATTTCAGCTGAATAACGGTGATTCCTCGCGAGGGGCAAAGTTCAAGATCTACAGAATATCCTCTCGATCAGAACCGTATTCAGCGGCGCGCCGTCGCCATCGCATTATTCGACAGCGCTCACCCGCTATCTGAAGCGTTGGACTTGTCAATCTTCGACGATTTTAATTCCCGCTTTCACCTTGAGTCGGCATCCGGCGGCGTCAGACTTCCGGCAACGATCGTTAGAATGCATTGGCGGAACACGATCCTCGACGTCAGAATTAAATAATTTTTATCATCACATCCTATCAATCGACCGTTTTCGATTCCCGGTGCGATAATCGAGTAATAATCGGACTCAAGCACGGGACAGCTCCGCTCGGAAAAAAACCAACACTTTCTTTTTCGTCTTTCCAGTTTGTTATCTTCGTTGCGGGACTCGCGGGCCCTTTCTTGGACGATTCACCCTACATCTATCGACCGGACCGGAGGTCTGAAATCTGGCGTTACGTCTCGTACATGGTCCTTCACGAGGGATGGAAGCACCTGCTGACGAATCTCTGCGTCCAGATGTTCGTCGGTCTTCCCCTGGAAATGGTGCACGGCTCGTGGAGGGTTGGCTGCATCTACATGTCGGGCGTACTCGCGGGATCGCTGTCGACATCCGTGTTCGCACCCGAAATCTCCCTGATCGGAGCTTCGGGTGGCGCTTACGCGCTACTCACCGCGCATCTGGCCAACGTAATGCTCAACTATCGGAGCATGCGTTGCGGTTGGGTGAAGATACTCGGAGTGATTGTAATCGCGTCGAGCGACGTCGGACGCGCGATCTTCAATCGTTACATCGAACCCGACGGTTTACCCGTAAGCTACCTGTCGCACATCGCGGGGGCTCTGGCCGGAGTTACGACGGGTCTTCTGCTGTTGAAGAATTTCGAGAAAAAGTTCCATGAACACTTCTTGTGGTGGGCGGCGCTGCTCGCTTACTCGTCTTGTATGTTGTTTGCGATCCTCTACAATGTGCTCAACATCGATGGAATCGCGTCACCTGAAGAAATCTACTGAAATCCGAAGTCTTGAGAGACATCTTCCCGCCTCAATCGAGCCAAAATACCCGTTGACGATACGTTGTCGGTGATCGCATAGTATTTGTAGAATTCTCGTCTGTTCTGTCGCATGGAGACGCAGTCGATTCATCTAGTCAGCCTCAACGGAGAGAGGAAAAACGATGGCGAATGGAAGAACACGTTCCTAATTGTGGCACGAGTCGGAGAGATCTTCGGATGAGAACCAACACCTCGTTATCATGTGTGTGCTCGTGTGAGTTGGTCAGCTTGTACACATATGAATGACGAATCAATATTCGCGTTCTTGAGCGCCTTGAACCTTGCACAGGAACGAGAAGATGAGTGATCTCCCCTACGAGTGAATTGAGTTCGATATCGATCGTTCAGACAGACCAAAACGAGAATATTTCTCTCCACAAGGTTGAATATTCAAGTTGATACTCGAAAACACAATAATATAAAACTGACTCTGTAAAAATGTAAATACCGCCGAAGGGCTCAATTATGCCGGGGTGGAATCGAAACGAGCGTTGAATAAAGAGAAATGTATTTTTCAAGTTTCTGAGACATGACAGGCTCATAATTCCGCGATGAATCCGGAGTCGATCTTGATCGGATGTAGATCTCCGATATCACAGCACCGCGACACTCGACACTCGCATTCACCCATTCCAACCTCCTTGTCTGATCTAGATAATTGATTCCATCCGATCCTTGGTGAGGGACTGGAGGAAGAGGATTCTAGTTCAATTGTAAAAACATACAGAATACGTTCCACTTCGGGACAAGCTTTCAGAGCAGCTTTCGTTTAAGATCTTTTCGATTTCGATCCCGAAAGAGAATGAGGAAATGATCCATTTTATCGGAATCGGCAGCGATTCCTTACCGAGTAGAAGCACACAGCCACACCAAGCACGCGGTTTCCAGAATATCTCCCGATGGCGATGCTTCCATCCGGAAGACGGAACGAAGTATTCAATATAGGATAGAAAGAGCAAGCCGTGTGTCTCGAGAGAATCGTTTTCGGAATTCTTGTTCCAGACTTGTCGCTCGATTTTTGTTATCCTCGTTGCCAGCTGTGAGAGTGGTGGTCTACACCGCCTCAAAGTAACATGTCAAGACGGAACGAAGATCACGAGAGGAGGACGAATGCATCAGGATTGTCGCTCTCGATTGATGGAGCCATTCGCCAGAGAACTGTTGAAAAATTCGATTCGGTCGACAGAAAAAAGAAACGAGCTTCGGATGGTCGTTTATATATTTTCATTCCTCTGAGGGGAATGAGAATACGATGAGGAGTCGTTCCGTGAGCGAGCGGCCGGAGACGAGCGTTGCGATCATAACGACGAGAATGGTGGGAAGGGCGGTCGGAACGGAACTTCGAAATTTCCGATCGTAAGAAGTTGCAATGAATTCACTCAAATGTTAAAGAAAGTCCAAGGAAATCTTCTCTGCTGCTCACCGTGAGTTATAAGGAGACGTTGTCCGAGTTCTCGGATTTTCTTTAAACTGGGGGACTGAATTCGCCGGGGTCGCTCTCATGGTCCATCTCAGAGAAGTCTCATCACAGAACAACGACATTCTTGAGCCAGACACGGGTATCCCCTCTACCCTGTCTTTAGGGCGCTGAGGGACTGCCCTGTCCCACTATTCATGAGTTCGCCAGGCATTTGACCTCTGTACTCTACTCTTCGCGTTTTCTGCCCAGATTCACGCAGATGGCTTTGCCGGGGCGGCGGATGAATGAAGAGGAATGAAGTCTCCTGATGAACGAAAATCCCCACCCCGCTTGATGTAGGCGAGGAGCCTCCGACGTGGAATAGGGGATCGAAAACTCTCCATTGTTGCCTCGCTGATTCCATGAGCAGAATTGAGCATTTTCGGATGAAGATCGCCATCAATCAGCGAGAGGACCCTCAGGTTCTCGGACACTCTGGACTCCCCGCTGAGAGCGGTGTGATGACTCATGGAATTCCTCGTCATTCCGGATCTTGGAGAATCAGTTCCGAAATGACATACGAGATCGCTAATCAAGGGGATTCCACTCACAATTGGTTCAAGTCGTCGATTAATTATATGGTACTCATCATAGCATCAGTATCGGCATCGTCTCCATCGAGAAAGAGGAAGTGCTAAGACCGCGAAGATAATACTGGATATCACGATTTTTAGCGCAGATCCCTCTATTTTATCAGGAGCTGTTGATACGCGAATCGCGAATGTCGACTCCGTGTGTCTGTGTGTGAAACAGAGCTGTTCTATGGTGCTACCAGGGATGTAGGATGAGGAATGCTTCCATCCGTCTTTGGCCGGAGGTTATCAGCGCTGCGTGTCCCTCTTTAGCCGAGAACATACTGTTTCAAGAGTTTTATGATGAGGATCACAACAGACCGCTCGCTCGTGAATTGTAAGCTCGAGAATAATGTCGCGAGCTGTTAGTACCGTTCCTTTCATAATCCCGAATCGTGAGCTCGTGCTGCCCTTGTTTCGTACACCCTTTCGCTCCCTCACTACGCGCGGAGCAGCATACTCTAGAATGCGATCTCCGCTCGAACTGTGCCGGCACGGCCGATTCGACTCAAAATGCTCAAATTCACTTTCCATCCTAGGGACAGGATGAGTTCGCTGTAAGGCCGACCGGAGCAGGTGCAATTTGCTGCCCTTTCAGTGTTTACGACAGCCAAACCACCAACGTGCTTCCGAAATCTAGCTCCGACACGAGGTTCCCGAGTCGCGATGACAACCGTCTGGAACTGCGGTAAAATTCTGAGAGGGACTTCTTGCGCATTACTGGTGTTGAATCAGCCATTGAATGGTCCTCAATGTGAGTTATTGAGCAAGTTGTGGCCTCATGCCACGCTTCGAGTGACGGTGGATGGAGGGAGCAATCGTCTGTTCGAATCTCTACCGGAGCTAACGCCAGACCTGATAACTGGAGATCTCGATTCGATCAGGGATGATGTGAGAGAAACGTTCGAGAAGCGAGGAACTCTCATTGTGCGAACAATAGATCAGAGCTTCACTGATTTCACAAAATGTCTCCGCGTGATTTCGACTCGTCCGGAAAACTTCGACAACATTCTGGCCTTCTGCACGTCCGGCGGCCGCTTTGATCAGGTCATGGCAAACATCAACACATTGTACAGGAGTGCGTGCATTCTCCCGAAGCCTGTGATTTTGCACTCCGGTCGCGAGATAACCTGGGTCCTGCCCCCTGGAAAACATCGGATTCTGACGCACATGGACATGGTGGATATGAATTGCGGCCTTCTACCGATCGGATCGGCGGTCGTCGCAACAACAACGGGTCTGAGATGGGAATTGAAATCGACGAAGCTCGCATTTTCGGAACTTGTCAGCACTTCGAACAAGATTGCTTCAAATGAAATCTTCATACAGACTGATGAACCCATTGTTTGGACGATGAGTACGGAGAGAGAGGCGAGCTGACGAAAGAGAGGTATTAAACACGATATCAGAGGTCATTTGATTCGTTTGCATGTTTTTTTCTTTTGACTCCTGGATGAAGGGAATATCGAGGGCGATTGGATATCTCGATTCCTGTATCGCTGCAGCAGTATAGGTCCCCCGGATCCCTCCATAGCTCGATCAACGCAGTTTGCCGTGAACCGTGAATAATCTCACCTTCAAGACGCTCACTGCTCGGAGGATCCACGGAACCAAAAAAATCGGAGGATTCATTCCCTGAATTCATTCCTACAGACTCCCCAGCTAGCTCATGCAGCTTAGGACAGATTCAAGGACGCAATCAAGCGAGCGCGCTGAATGGTATAGCGTCCCCGGAATTTTCGTTAGCGGATCAGGAGAATGAGAGCAATTCGGATTGGAGCGGGATGAGCGACGGGTCTTGAGGGGCTCGAGCCTGACTTACTTTTTAGACTCGTCTCTGTGGTTGTGCTCCCTATCGTACACAAGCTCGAGACAAGTAGCTTTTGTTGCGATATCGCCAAAATGACCCAATATGACTCGAGAATCTCGGAAAAGCCCCTCCTCATTTCAATTACAAGATGCTTCTGATGCGCTGATGGAGAATCTCGATACGAGGAATTATAGATGCCTTCCTGTCATGAGTCAAGAGTCATGAGCTGATCACCGCGTGCGAGCGATTTCCGCATTTTTTCTCCGAGTTCGTACAGCCTGTATTCGGATCCCTATCTCCAATTCCTTGCCCGCATGACATGGTGAGGTGCTTAAATACCTGTCGTCATCTTGAATTCCTCAATCATCAGCTTATGAGGAGAACTCACCCGCGGGTCCCATGCAATAGTCCAGAGACCCACGGATAGAATTGCTTCGCGAGAGGAAGATGGTTTAATCAGCAGACGGAAGTGAAACTTCGCACCTTGGAACAGACGCTCCTTGAGAAAGCAAGGTTTGGATGGATTCATCGACCGGAGTCATCCGGTCCGATCGCATATCGGTAGCCTCTGACGGGTACCATCCTGAAAACGCTCCTCATCCCTCGAAGGCGGACAGAGTGACGCAACAAGCAAGAGAATCTTTGGCATATTGTCAACTCCATGTACACTACTGGATGTATCCGGCGTGGTCTAGTGGCTAGGATTCCTGGTTTTCACCCAGGCGGCCCGGGTTCAATTCCCGGCGTCGGAAAATTTTTGTTCCCCATCGCGTTCATGGGTCATGCGAGCAGATCAGTTTACATTATCGGGGAGTTCGGTTTATTTCCCCAAATATATGGCGTTTCTTCCGGGAGCGGATCCCACCCATAAGGTTCACGGAGCGATTGATTCCCATCCGTCACCGCACGAATCACTTAGACGCCTCCGAAGAAGCGGGCTCCGAAGCGAAGCCCAAACGAACAATGACATAAAATCGACACCCAGCCTGAGTTTTGATTCCCAAAATCTCCCCTAATATGAGTTTCTGTGCGAGCCTATTGATGAAGCTGACAGAGGAGAGCCAGAGTGAAATTCTGTCAGCAGGGGTGAGAGGAGCTCGCGCATGCGCCGCGCTCGTCCCGGAGAAAGGCTCCGTTGAGAAGACAGCACTCATATGTATCTTCCCTTCGCCCGTTTCATTTGCGGTACGGACCGCGAGTCACAGCGGTAGATTGCTCCGGTCGAACGCAAGCGTTGCATGCATATGTCTATAGAGAAAATGAGGCGGAGGGCCAACTAGTCAGAATGGCCGAGTGGTCTAAGGCGGCAGATTTAAGCTCTGCTCCTCGAAAGAGGGCGTGGGTTCGAACCCCACTTCTGACAAAATTACTTTTTGGTCAATTCTTCTCGCCAATCCATAAAACGGGGATGGCATTGTTCCCGACCGATTACTTCTTAGCGCTCTGAGCTTCGTCGGGCGAATCGCTCTCGGCCGGAATCATTAGTCACGCTGTAAAAAACACAAATATTATTTTTGTGAGAACCCCCCGAATTTACATGAGCTCGGCTGGACTCCGATATGGACGTCACGCGAGAATTCCTCTGGGACGACGGCTGTAAATTTGTCCATCTTTTCGAGATATTCCCGGATTCGGAATCCGTTGAACATTCTCGTGAGCCCGTGAAATCGGGTGCGGTAGGATGTTCCATGGGAATGTGATTCCACGCGATGCATCGTATTCACTGAATGTCGACGTTTCCAGGAAACACAGTGCGCGGTATCAAAATTGGAGATGCCGGGGATTGAACCCGGGGCCTTTCACATGCGAAGCGAACGCTCTACCACTGAGCTACATCCCCTCGTGGCTACCGGGCGTCGCGAGTCCATCTGTCGCTGATCGCTAACCTGGCACCCTTCGCATCCTGCCCTGACTCATCACTGGAGCTGATAAAAGGAATCACACTCGATTATTGAGCTAGACTGAAGAATTACGGGCCTTTCAGGCCACTCAGCAGCTACAGGAGCGGCACCGCAGCGCTTGAGGGCAGCAGTCCATTTGAAAATATCTCCGCGCGCCTGCTCGCTCATCTGGGGATGTAGCTCAGTGGTAGAGCGTTCGCTTTGCATGTGAAAGGCCCCGGGTTCGATCCCCGGCATCTCCACACTCCTTTTGCTGACGTCGGTTGCAATCCGGGGAGTTTCGACGGAACGAAAAAACGCCCAGCGGTCCTATCATGGGGATTGAAAGCCGAACGAATCGCTAAAGACGCAAACTCCCCACGGTAATAGCGGGGAAATAGTCAGTTTGGGGCTCCCATGGAGTCCCCTCGCCAATTCCTCACGACATATTCGGGTGCTCTCACAGGGCAGTAATGATTTTTGATTTTATATACCCCTTAAGCATTCCGGGAATCGATCATTCTACGGAGCCTCACGTCGCGAAAACGGATTTGTTCTCGATCCGAGATGTTTTCCGGTTTATCTTGGCCAGAGTCTTCCCAGTCTCGTATACGAGCACCCTAAAGCGACGGTCCCTTGATTCGGTTGCGGCAGCCACTCCGAGCAACACCAAAATCACAGAGACGCCTCTGCAGAGTGTTAAGCTTATCTCGAGCGGCCGTGCCCGCACAGGGTAGCGTGGCCGAGTGGTCTAAGGCGCTGGTTTTAGGCACCAGTCTCTTCGGAGGCGTGGGTTCGAACCCCACCGCTGCCAGATTTTTACTGCTTGCCCAAAGAGCGGGCGGCTTGTTGACATACTTCCGCTCAGCGCGACGGAGCGCGTGTATCAAATGGCTCAATGGCGCAAACGACTTTTGAATTCACCAAGTCTCATTTCGTCCCAGAGAGAGTGGGGAACTCTCCGGCGCATGTGACACAGACGCGAAACCGTCGTGTCCGCAATGGGAAGCTTCCGCGGCTGAGGTCGGGATTGCTCTGAGGTGCCTCGGCCTTCCTCGGGTTCGGAGTCCTGGAGCAGAGTTCAATCTGCGTGAGGTCTCAGACATACACATAGGCTTCCCGGACGATCGCAGAAGGGATCATATGCTTCATCTTTGCCTCTCGCAGCTTCCGAATTCAAAACTAGGCACGAATACGCCATTTTTCTCCATGAGATTATTTGCAGAGAAACTGCATAAAAGTTTGGCGCTGTCAAATGTGCAGAAAATGACTCAGCTCCATTCTGCGACGCGGAACACAAGAATTTCGAATGACTCATCGGCATCATCAGCGACAGACGTTTCTTGTACACCAGCCCGCTCTTACAGAATGGAGAAGGAATCGGCGAGAGAAGGGATGTGCGGCGACACTTCTATCGAAGAGCAGGTTGAATGAGCCCAATTTCATGAAAGAGACCCTTCTCGGTGAGCATGAGTGGAATTTGCGACTCTCTTCAAGGGGTACTATCGGTCAGAATGGAGGACGCGTGAGATTCTCGGAAGGCTCAATGGACAAAGAGAAAAAAGCACAGCAAACCAAGGGAATATTCCAGCCGGCATCAGCTCTGCTCAAGGGAAATCGGGGACCGAAACTGTTGCTCAACCTTTTCTTCTTTCCTCCTGTCCTGTTTACCTTCTCCATTGAGGGTGATCACGCATTTATCCTACACAGAATGTCTGATCGAAATCAAGGTATGGGATAGTGAAGGTGTGGGATACTGTGATTCCCCCGAGAGACAGGAAAGGACCTATGAACTAATTGAGAGCGTGAACAGACACGTGGAATTCTTGTTTGTCGCTGGTATGAGATCCTCTGGTCACGTGCTCCATTGTAGAATGAGATACGCCGCCTGCATTCCAGAAACATTCCTTGGTCCCTCGAGTTGTATTCCTCCATCTGTTATTGTTCCCTTGACAAGGTTCGTAGGTCCACGCTCAGGTTGTCGATGGCTTAGACAAAAGTTACAGCGCATCTCGAGTCTTTCATCGTTTGCGCGCGGATGCTTTTCCACGCAACGTATCCCAGTCGTAATAGAAAGAAAGAAAGAAGGCATTGTGTGTGACGTCAGGGTTACGCCGTTTCTGTGAGGTGCAGGCATCAGTCGGTCTGGTGGCAAGGGAAGAAGGGAGTAATCGGAAGGGCGAGTACGTAAGTCAGTGAATGAGTCATTCGCCGCCAGCACTAGCTCAGAGCATCACGGAGGACAGCATCGTCGTCAGAATGAGTCGCTTCAGAGGGTAGGTTTCTTTCGAGAGAGATCTGGAAAAAGAGAGCGCCGCCGCCGTAGAGCCTATAAACGAGCAAGCAGGCCAAACAGCTTCAGAGAGGCTTCGCATAGCTAGACCGGAGTCCGAAGCAGTAGACCGTGCTTTCTTGTGTATTCAAGTTTTGTGTTTGTGACAACGGTAGTCTCACCCGACTCCTCTGGTACGTTTTCCTCTCCTATGTATGAGTCCGATACTGGAACAATATTCCCCGGCATCTTGGGAATCTCTGTCAGAGAGCGCAAAAGCAGTTGGGCTTGAAATTCTCCACATGTCCGTTGGCCGATAGACGGAACAAAAAGAACGGGCTCACGGACAGCTGATCAAGCGCACTCTCTATGCGATTCGTCTAGACGTAGAAGACGGACTCTCCTTCAGTAACCAACTTAGGGCGGAAATCGGGCCAATGTCGAGTGAATCCATCACCATCGCTATATTTTTCTCCAACCTGGACAGGCAATCACCGCGCGCGTATTCCATGCGCGCGTCTTCACCCTGTTCACTTCTGAGTCAGAACGTTAGATCGGGCGCTTCCGGAAAAGCGCTCACTAAATGTTGAGGATTTCCCTCCATGGCCTGTACCTTCAGAACGGGAATTATCAGCGTTCTTTCGTCAGAGCATTATTGCTCGCTGGATCCGAAGGTTTGGATGTCGGGTCTTCTCTCTAACTCACTCAGACGGTTCAGTGATCGTCACAGACGATAATTATCAGCCGCACCTATTTCATAGAGGGGTGGAATCTGAAAGCTAGAATCTGATGCCACTCAGAAGGGAAACCTCATGACAAAGACCGACAAGGCCTGGATACATTCGAAGCAAAGCAAACACGACCCGGCCGCCGCGCTGGCTGGCCCAGCGAATGATACGCCGCTGTCCGGTGAAGACCGAATGTTCGATCTGCAGCGAGAAGTCTCAGCAGGCCATGTGTCATGACTAGGCTTAGAGCTGTCATGTTTAGGCTCGCTATTTATATCTGCTCACGTTTGTCTGATGCTGTCGATGGACATAACGCTCAGCCCTTAACAGCACTTGTGAGATGAATGTCGAACATTTCGCTGGAATTTTTCCTCGCTTCGAACGGCCCGTCGCTTCTACATAGTTCGGTATCTCTGCGCTCACGGGTTGCGGCTGCTCTCCGGCCGATTCGAGATCAAGGACGAGGCTCTCTTGCTCAAGGTTTCGTTCTCTTCCGCAGACGTTTCCTGATGGACAACTTTCCCCATCACGACGAGTTTCTGGTTCCCATGGACGTTTTCGGTTCGTCTTTCGATGAATACCGGCAACGTGTTCGGAGGCAGATCGACGATATCATGAGAGATGCAACTCACAGACCCGAGCGAGACCTTCGCCGACAGCTCAGCGGAGTTTTCAACCGCTATTCGAGAACCTTCCAGGATGATATGTTCGACGACATCTTCAAAGAGCTGCAGTTTCCGACCGACAGGTGAGCAGTCAACTCCCTATGTCTTGGAGAAGGAATTACCATAACCTCGGATTGAGGAGGGAATCGCTTTGGGACTTTTCCTAGAATTTTCCATTCCGCATCGGGAAATTGATTCGATTCGGTCAGCGACGACTCCGTTCTCCTAAAGTCTCCCTTCTCTTCAGCGGTTTCCAGCAAGTGGCCCGAGAGGTTAAAGCCGAAGTAGACGAGAAGAATCGGCTGCTCGTGGAGCTTGACGTCCACGAGTTCGAGCCCGAAGAGATCACAGTCAAAGCGGTCGAGAACCAGTTGATCGTCCACGCGAAAAAAGAGACGCAGAACTGCTGCAAAGAGTTCCGGCGCGAGATCCAACTTCCCGACGGTATCGATCTTGACACAGTAACGTCGAATCTCAGCCCTCAGGGTGAGTATGAGAGAATTCGAAGCATTTTCGAACTCCGGTGAGCATTCTCGGCCTGAACTTCCGCCGCTGCGGAACTCTGTGCGGGCTCTGTTTGATCACAAGCCCAAAGAGAGCTGACAACGCGGTGGGAATTGTTTCTCCTGTCTCAGTTCGCTGACATTGTTTTTCTCCTAACAGGTCTCTTGTCGATTCACGCCCAAATGCCTACAGCTCAGCAGCCTCAAATCAGCGCCGCTTCACAACCTCAACGACTTTCACACGGCCGGACGGAACTTCAGACAGTTCCGAATGTGCCCAACAACGTCGAGGCAGAGCCTACCGAGGTACACAAATCCGAGGTCTGCTTCAATGTTGGGCCCGCCCCGGGTCACTGAATTAGATCCTGTTAAATATCTGGTCTCATCATTCCCACTATGTCCTTCTCTTGAACCCGATCGCTGCACCATTCAACGCCGAAGGTCGAAATGAAGACGCATCCATGTTTTGTATTCATTAAATAAAGGTCTCTAATGGCTCATGGACAAAGCACGTGATGGGCTGTTGTTTGCTACCAGGGACTTCCGACTAATGCGGCGCGTGAAGGCATAAAAGCTGCCTCGTTAGATTTTGAGAGCTTCCTCTAATTTTAGACAACGTGCCCTACTCTCTGGTTGAGCTAACCTTGTCGCTGATCTGATGGGGAATCTTGATTGATAGATCTAGAGGCGAGTACGCACGTCTGGAATAAGCGGTTTTCGCGAAAATGTCGTCGAGCTCATTTCCAAACTCAAGCCGGCTGGCCTCGTATCCTCCAGCTACGGAACCAAGTCTGATCCCGTAGCCCCCGTCCCCAGCACCGATGGGACCAGCGCTGACGCTTCCATACCCAGCTCCGACGACTGAGTTTCCGTAGCCTCTGGCTGTGTAGCCTCCGAAGGTACCGGCGAAGCCTTCGTAGCTTGCAGCACTACGGGCGCCATATCCGCCCAGACCGTCCAACGCTCCGAGTGTTCCGTAGTCACTGAGATGGCCGTACTGCGCAAAGTCACAGACCATGAGAGCAAAGAAGGAGAGAATTGTCTCAAAGGATGAATCAGTTCCAATGCCTCGATCCCTAGACTCGGGTCCTTTCGGTTAGTCGACCTGGTGGTACACACTAGGTCCAGAGCTGTGTTGAACAATAACAGAACAACTCACAGCGGAGTTCATGTCGGAACGTGAGTGATGTTTTTCCATCGAATACCTCGCCTTTTTATAAGAAAATTGGACCGATACCGACGCCCTGACAAGGGCGATTTTTCCCTAACTTTTGGTATAGCACGGTCAGAGTCGCTAGTCATTTTCTGTAGTTTAATCCGCTGAGCTCGTTCTTGACTGGCTTCTAATTGCTCCCTCTCTTCGTTTGGCAAGTGACTGAGCCGGAACTTCTGAGGTGTTTTCGGGTTCCGCCTCAGATGCCATCTAGTCTCGCACTCCTCGTTATTCGGTGGGGACGGGTATCCTGTAACTGGATATTATTATTCAGGGATCGTGGCTAGCAGGGCGGAAGCAGCCGCGAGGGAGGAATCTATGGAGGACGCGATGGAGTCATCGTTTAGTCATCAGAATCCTGGTATGATACTTTTGCAGAAGAACCTTCGTATTATGAAATTCGCATTCAAGCTTTTGATAATTATTGTCTTTATTGGGCGGATCGACACTGCTCGAACTTCTGCGGCGGACCTTATCCAGGATGAGCTGAGGTAGCTCGAGACTCGAGACATGATCGTTCGATTCAATTATTTCCGCAAGTTCCGTAGGGCATCCAAATCTTCCACATTTCTTGTCTTGACCATAACCGATCCGGTTCCCGAGAGCCCAGACGAGGCTTCTTGTCTTCTGGTGTTGATAACTATCGCATTGGTATTGATGATCTACGCTCTTCAGCGCAGTGCTGACGAACTCGTCGCTATGCAAATCGGGGCTCGGTCGCATCCTCCGTTCGTTAGGAAGTTGTTCGGCCTTCAATCGGACGGCACCTGGTTTCCTGCCTAAGTGGTCTTTATTCCGCCGCAGGAGCACCTCATCTCTCGCTAGGTGATCCTGCAGGGGAATTCCTTTCGATGCTGCTTTTGACTTTATAGCGAGCTCAGTGTTCTCGCCACCTGAAGCCGATTTTCCTCTGATGGTAAGTGACTCGAGGTCCTGTAGATCCGGATCAGAGTTCTAGATGATCTGCCGATGATATTACGCCTATGTTGCCGAAGACGTTGCAATCGGCCCTCGGAACACTTTCCTTGCTTTCACACGCCGTGAATTTCACCAAACTTTAGAACAGAGCCACCTTCTACTCCTGTCACTCCTCAAGATCCGGATCGCTTCCAAAGTGCAACGTTCAGGTTGTCGCTCGAAGAACGTGCGCGGCGTATTTTGGTTCGTGCAACTCCTCTTCTGTCCCATTCGAGCAACAAGAGCGTTCAGACCGACAATTTGAGCCTATGACAGGCACTTGGCGCCGTGAGACGGGGAAGTCATGCCTGAACCGGACACATTCCTTGAATTGACTGATAACCGGACAAACAGGACAGAACCGGACGTGTCCGGTAGAATCGAAGCTCTACCCAGGATAGATTGTGGTATTCTATCTCCGATCTGAGCGAGAGCAGCCATCCTCAGCCGTGCAATCGCGTTCGGATTTAAGATCCGACCAATCAAGCGTGTCTCTGACAGCTTCGTCGGTGCGCGTGACGGAGAGTCACAAAACTTGCTCATGGTTCCGGACGCTACGCAGCGTCAGTGACGGCGCAGAATTCGAAAATGGGGCACAACTCGTCGAAGTCTCGAGAGCTTTCTGTTTCGAAATCACATTCCGGATAACGAGACTTATCGCCGGCGAGCACGAAGTGATGCTGAAGCACAATCCCATCCGATTGCATTACCGGAATCGTCACCGCCACAGCCCACCTCGAGCCTCCCTTGGAGCGCCAGTCTGGGGCTGTGGAATCCGCGCACATCTGACTGAGCTTCCAGAGTTCTCAGGTGTCCAAGCAGCGAAGATCCGCTAGCGCGATCGTGGAACTCCTATGACGATGAGCGAGAATATCCGACGGCTCGAACATCTCGATTGTCATTCATAGGTTTTTCTCTTGATTCGCGGCTCAATACAGTGACCCTACTCTGTGAAACGTCGCCGTAGTTCCGCGGCAAATCCGCGGGAACACATTCGCGCCGACCACCTTAAACGGCTCTCGAGTCTCCGCAACGGTCGAGGAGTATATCGAAGAAAGCAGGCCCAAGCTTGATGTCCGAGGTCGTCTGATGAATCATCGCCGGAATCAGGTGTTGAAGCGAGCTAGCAAGGAATCTCCTCTCGAAGACGACGATCGGGATCTGGCTACCGTGCGCCCCACCGCACCTCAAGCAGCGTCTATGACCACTCCCAGACGAGTGGGCCCAAATACTTGCCGCGGAACGCGAGCGTTACGCCGATGGATGCGCGATCCTCACCGGCTAGATTGGAGCGCACCATCCCCATGTTCATCGAGAATCTCATATATCACAGGAGTCTCATCTGAAAGTTGAGCTTCCGATCCTTGGAGCGAAGACAGATGGATGAGAAGTGGACGGTGCAGAAAAATTGTTCCTATCGGGAGGCGACGCCGCCGGTGCAATATTCGACGAATATTCTTCGCCTCGCTGGAATGTCCCCCTCCTTCCTGTCCCCGAGAAAGTCCGAACGCTCACAAGCCGAGTGGCCGTCAATTTTCATGCAACTGAGGCGCGCTGATGGCTCGACGGATTCATAGCTCACATGAGCAAGAGGGCGCGGCGTGATTACGGAAGTTGTCAGCATACAAAGGATGTAATTGCGCTTGAATGAGCTTCCTGAGACTCCGATGATGGGGCCCGATCACCGAGAGAGGGATTAATGCTGCGGGCTCATGAAATCGCAGCAACGACACCTCATGCAAGATATAGACGCAACCTTCGTGTCTACATAGAAAAAAACTATCGACAACAAAACAGTTATCGAAATTCCCGTGAGAAATGCGGTAGTTTGTCTACCGCCGCGAAGTCGATCTGAACGAGCATGGTACCTAATATACGTTTGCTACACATTAGGAGGAGCGATCCGAGTCTTTTTTGTCGATCAAGGCAAGAGCTCTCATTCAAGTATTCGCGCTTGACGGATGATATTCAATACCAGCGTTCTGGAGCGCGGCCCAAGGCCGCGCTCGTCGCTTCTGCATGTCTTGCTAAAGATATATTTATACTCAATGTTCGAGATTCGTGGATTTAAAAATCTGGACGTAAAATATGACAACGGGTGATGAAGATACTTTCCGAACAGTTCCTGTTGACTTCACGGCCGGCGAGTTCCTGAGCAGCCTCGTTCGTGTCCATTATGAGCACTTGCGCACACTGGGGAGATTCGCCATCCCGAGGTCGCAGTCCTCCTATCGTGTGGTGTACCTGGCCATGCACCCGGAAGCAATAAGGACCGTATTCCCGCGGCGTCTCGGTATTCGCGGTCATTGAAGCCATGGCCAGAGCATTGTTGTAATTCCTGATGAACTTACGGAAACTCTTCGAATCCTCATCCTGGTTCACATACAATGAGCGCAACGTTGGTGGAAAATTGTTGAACAGCTGAAGCACAACCGTGTTCTTCGAACAGCACATTGTATATGGAGTCCGACCGGGAGTTGTCTTCTCCGCTCTAAAATGAGTCGCACCGCAACCGCTGCAGGGGTCATCCATATGCCCCAGATGATGGGGGGTCACGGGCGCCGCCGATGATCTCGAGCCTTGTGTAGCGTGCTCCGGAGCTGGTGGTCGTTCTGTAGGGCCCTCGTCTCTCGGTGTTGCGTCGCGTCTGCAGTTCTCGTTGCTTCGAGCTCACATTGTGGCATATTCGACCGCGCTTCAGAGTGTCGCGCCGTATACAGACTGCGAGCAGCCTCCGTTTCTTGCTGAGTTCGTCGCGCCCGTAGGGTACGTTGCAAGACGTTAAATGGGACCCTCCGCTGGAGAGCGTGTGTGCGAAGTTCAGAGTTTTGCTACGGCTCGCGGTAGACAATGATGAAGGGTTGATGTTACCTCTAATCCCATAGCGATAATCACTCCTACCGTCAACCATGATGAAATGATGTTTCTCCTTTACCCTTCTCACCAATACTGTGAACTATCCCTCGTATCCCTCTTACTGATGAAGCGCGACTGATCGTGGGGCGCGAGCGCTAGACGCAACGCCGAAAGCTGACTCAAGATACTCGAATGAGTAAAAATTCTCGCTGCCGAAGGATCGAACCTGGGTGCAACTCGCACTCAATTATTAGTATACAGATTCGTACGTAGAGAGAGGTAGAGAGACGAACTCGAGTCTCTACTTCGTACACTCATATTGTCTTGGCAGCCTCCAAGACTTCGTTGTTAATGATGCTCAATGTGTGCTCAGTGTGTTTCGGGAGCTTTAGAGTAGGTAGGGCTGGCTGGCCCGGCTGACGGCTGACGAAGTGATATCACTCGGCGATTGGCGAAGTGATATCACTCGACTGGCGAAGTGATATCAGTCGACTGGCGAAGTGATATCAGTCGACTGGCGAAGTGATATCACTCAGCGGCTGGCCGACTGGCGAGGTGATGTCACTCGGCGGCTGGCGAAGTGACTCGGAGGCGAGAAGCAAGGTAGATCCCCGCGGGACAGTCTCGCAGCAAAATCGCGATCAAAGGGATCATCCTGAGCACGCTTTTCTGAGTCCGTGTCGAGTACCGATACTCTGAGCAAAGTATCAAGAGCTTCTGAGGAATTTTTTGAGCACGGACAGTCGCGCTTTATTAGTAGGAGGGATTCTCCTTTTGCACGGGATTTAGCGGGAGCGGTCTCAAACCTCGCTCGTTTTGAGCTGAAGGGGTGGGACCGGGCTTGCTCTGAATTGATGCGGGAATCGTAGAGGCCTGCTTACATGAGTTTCTTCCGAGTTCTTTCCTTCATTATCGGGAGAAAGATAGGATTTGTATCCAACGGGAAGAAGCACGATACTCTCGATTGTGCTTACAGATCGTCAGACATTACTTCCCCTCAGAGTTTGACGGCTGTCGCACGCTGCAGGCTCTCCGAGGATTAAGTCTTGCGAAGTGAATTTTTAAAGATGAGACCTAGAGGAGCAATCCATTCTCGCTCGGGATCTCCGAGAGGGTTAAGTAAGAGCGCAAACCGAGAGGAAGAACGACGAACAGCCAGCTGGCCACCCACCCGCTGGCCTCGGAGATTTACGATGGCCGAGAGAAGTTCCTGAGTTTTCCCGAGCTCCTTGTCCAGGTACAAGTTTTCTCCGTCCGTAGGCTGCAACCTAAAATTACTGGTTGAGGAGATTCGAGGAAATTGAAAAAGTTGTTCTTCCGACAGTGAAAAAGGGATAACAATCGATTCGCTCCCTCCTCTTGGAGCTCCCGTCAGGTTAAAAACGAACTTCTTTGAATCCCGCATCATACCTTTCGAAGGTGATCTAAACAGCAATCCAACTCAACTCGCAACGGTAGATCTCTGGAAGAGAAGGAACGACATCCGCGGAAGATTTTCGGAAAAGGCCATGCGTTTGAAATGTACCGTTCGTGGAAAATGCAGGTAAAATGAGTGATCAGCAGAATTGAGAGTGATTTCATCAGATTGGGAACAAGTCTTCCGAATGCCTTCTCACCAGAGCCTGCGGGAAGGCAGAGAATAAGTCATCAGATATGTCGAGAATTTCAGCGAAACTTCATACCTGCAAAGTATTGAGGATCTCACGTGTGGGATGGTCTCTGTAAAACATTCAGACCCTCCTATCTCAAACGCTGTACCCTTGTCTTGAGCACAAATTCCAATCGGTTCCGGCGTGAGTCCTCACCTCGACCCCTGAGCCGAGGCTCCTGACGAGCCGAGCCCTTCTTCCTCGCCAAGCTGCCGCGCGCTCGGAGATGGGCTCTCTCTAGACGGAAATTCATCGAACTAATCTTTGATGTCCTCAGCTCCGGCAGACTTGCTTGGCTGCGATCGGCTCCTCCCGGAGTTTCTCGTCATTCCGTGGAATACGAAGCACGGCTGCTAGAGGAAAACATTGCAGCGACTTGCCGAACTTTCGCGGACGAACCTCCGAGCTGTTCCGCTATGAAGATTTTTCGGATCAGTATCACGCAGCTTCACACGAAAACACAAATCCCTGTTCGGGATCCGATGGATTAATTCTTCTCTCCAAGACACGAATAGATCCTCGTTGATGGTGTCGAATATATGGACCTTTCGTCACCAGGAAAAAATAGGGAGGAAGGAAACTCGATCAAGTTCCTTTCGATCATATCCGCATCATCCGCTCAGCCTCGGTCGCCAGGCATCCTCAGGAACGTCGAACAGTCTCGGCGGAAGGTCCCTCGTCTGCGAATTCCTGCAGAGCTTATCGAGACGGAGGCTTATCTTCGACAATCATACAGTTTTTTTAGGAACAGTGAGGTTGATTTATTCATTTTTTACATGAATGATGTTATTTGCGGTCTTCGATCAACAACTCAAGAACAGATACTTCGTCCAATGGATAACTCCCGCTAGAGCCTTGTCGTTTGCTCTATACGGTCGCCTCATTATCGTGGCTATTGCGTCCGAATACTTCTGGGATCTTACGCTCCCGAGCTCATGAAAATTCTCAAGTCCCTGTTCGGATCCGCACATGGTACTCCATCGGGGATGTTTCGTGGTTTCCACCCAGGAGATTATTAAGAGATTCCGTGTATGCCCCCCACCCCATACGCGGAGGGAAGGCGAGATTCCGTCGACGTCACAACTCACAACCCCTTATTGCCCTGAGAAATGATTACACTTCGATCGAGCTATATGGATCGGCAGCCATCGGTTTTACCTAAGTCTCGAACGTCGAGGACTAATTTCGGGAACAGAATCAATCAATCGACCGATTCCCCAATCCTCCTCTATCCACGCAACCGATGTTTTTTCCCGATAATTGAGTCCGTTTGGGGCTCCCATAGGAATTTCCGGAGTTTCTCGCTGTGAATCACGCTATCTCGCGCTCATTTTTCGGAACTACGACAAGAATGAAAAAAATAACAATATATCGTCGCCCCTATTGTTCTCCCAGGATCCAGTCTCTGTCGTGGCTCCTTGAGGGAAAACGTCAGCTTATTATCCCGAAGACTTACGGAACGCATATTTCAACAAGTTAGTCACTTTGGACCGATAACGTGAGCAAATGATACAATGTATTCAAGTCCTTGGACTCTCTGCTCCGACGACACTACCGCTTCCATTGATGACTGTCACAAAGGTGAAATCACAGGTTCACGATGTTTTCGTCCCGCCGCTGTATGACTCTCCACACCCTACTTGATTATTTGAGATGGCCCCGGGGCGTTTCTGGCCGCGACTCAGGGAGCCTCCGGGAAAAACAGGTGTCGCGTTCGCTACTCATCTCGTAGGCCTATTATTAGACAGGATCGCTCTTGAGCAATAAACTTTTGTCGAGGATTCCGGTCGCACTCCGTAAAGCGTTGAGAACCAATGAGAGGTTCTCGCGCACGTAACTCAGTGCTGGCGAAATGGGCCGCTTGCGCGCTTGCCTCACGGCCATCACTAGGTGCGGGAATAACGTTCCCTTGTTTGAGTCCTCGTTGTCTGGTCCGTAGAGCAGATGCCTCGAGTGCAGGTGGCGCGGGTAAGCGGCTTGCAATAGGAAGCTTCGCTCGAGCTGCAGGAGTCGGTCGTTGAACTCCTCAAGTGTGCTCAGAATAGCTGGAACAAAGAGCCAGAGCATTCAGATAGCTCCTAAAGGAAATGGATAATTTGTATGGAAACATCAGCGTTGCCGAGCGACTAGCAGACCGGGAAGGAAGCGCACCGCAACTCCGAAATTCGGAGCGATCAATGCTGGTTCCGCGATCGGTGTCGGTTCCGCGATCCCTGATAGTCATTGGTCGCGAACTCACTTTTTTCACTTTTTGCACTCCTTTCAAAAGCCTCTTGGAAATTCTTGGCGGTGGCGCTGAAACCCTTGACCGCAGCCGACAAGGCGTCTAGTCGGATGTGGTTCGTTCTGAAGAAATCTCCTTGAGCCCTTTGAAACGTAGCGAAGTCCGCCGATATCTGATCCGCGTAATCGGTAGCCTAAGAAGAACAGAATGAACTCTAGGATTAGGCCCTCTCGGAGGGTATCGCGGTATACTCTCCGCTAGAGCATTTTTTCCCCGGAGCACGGAACACTCATGACTTACCTTCACGGGCAATTGGAGGGTGTCGGTTAGCTTGAGCGCAGTGGCGGCAATAAGCTGAGCAAGGGCTGCCATTCCATGTTGCCCCGGGTCGGTGAAATTGACTATATAATCGAAATCATCGTATACTGTTCGCAGAGGCGGATAATCGGTCGAACCGTCTCCCGCAACATATTGGAAGTGAGCGATCGGGACGCCGAGCAGCTGGAAGAACGGGACGAAGTCGGCTCCGCTCGCGGGTGGAATTATTTCGGGGACCGATCCCCGTCGGGAGTTCAGAAGTACGGGTTGGGCACGCGTCCAGGAAGAATATAAGCTCTCGGCTGGCTGGTGTTGTGCGCTCGACGACGATTGCGACTGCTGGTGCGGCGGTGGGGGTTTATTGTTCTGATCGGAGTTTGCCATTTGGTCTTCCCCGGGTGACGGAACCTTCTCGGCCGCTTCACTCAGGACTTGACGCAGGAGCGGACTGCCGATCACCTGCAGACTGCGATTGCCTGCAATGCAACAATTGTGCCCTTGAAAACACCTGGAACCGGCGAAGGCGGAACTGTCCGACTGGCAGACTGAGTGTGTGAGTGACAAAGGAGAAGCTCTCGCTCGGAGTTCGACTCGACGGAAGATCCTCCCCAATTGTAAGCGAAAATATCCTCGTCAGCACTCTCCGGGACCCGATACTGTCTGCGTTGAGCACGAAAACGGCAAGCGCGAGGATTTTTCTCGACAATATTCGCTCTCAGTCAGCTTAGTTAGACTGATGGTGTTCTCGCAAATTATTCCCGCCTAGAGTTTTACTGAGCTGGTCAGCCGTCGCCGCGCCGACGGCTCTCCTAGCTCGTTGTTCGCATCAAAAAACGACTAATGGACTCTAAGAAGTTCCATGCACAAGCGGACTCACTTCCGCGGCATTTATGCGAGTTTGTCATTCGCGAGAGCCGCGTGGAAGCATCGAGAGGAACTCTGCCTGATGGGAGAGGAATTCCAACCCCTACCCAGATCTACTTTTGAATCATTTCTCGAGAACGACTCTCTGTCGTCACAGCCTCCTCGCATCCTTCCGAGGGCCTTCAACACATTCCCGAATCGCTGTCAGCGATCTGGGGAGGCGAAATATTGACCGTTCGGCGGGGGTCGAGCAACGCCAGCGCGGGGTATCGACAATGCTCTGAATGCTCAGAATTATTCATCCACGGAATAAACGAGGGGCTTGTTGGCGATGGCCGCGACTAAAACGGACAGACGTGTTCCATTCAGAGAACATAAAAGCTTCGCCGTCGCATTGGATCCCGTCGAGAATCCCCCTCCGCGGCTTCTCTCATTGTCCGTATCCCAGCGCTGCTATAGCCGGCCCTCATGCGGGACTAATTATTTAGCCATAGACGTCGGGACACCGAGCCCGGTGTCGACAATAATTTGAAAATCTTGCGAATCCATTAGGCGACGCCAAAGAATCCAGTAACGGCACGAGTCACTCACCGGTTACGGCTTGGTCCAGGGACAAATAAGCTACAGTTCTGTGACTGAGCTCGCCGAAGTGCTTCTGGAGGAACTCCGTGCTGCCGACTTGGCCGAATTCCGCCGCGTCCCAAGCCGCGAAAATCAGCGTCCTCTTCGGTCTCCAGCCCTCTATCCGAATCAGGTCGGAGAACATTCGGGCGACCTGGAAAACAATCGACGACGACGTGTTACCACCTGAGTATCTAGTAACCGCTTCGGTCGTTGGGGTCCAGCCAACGTGAGCGGGAATCTTCCTCTGTTCCTGAAGCTCCACCGATGACCACCGGAGTTTCCCCCGCCCCCGTTGTCAATTACGTTCTGTCGGCGAGCGTAATAAGGAGTAATGAATATGTTTCCAAGTTGGATAGCGCACCTCCATCAACACAGCCATTCCGGTGCCCGGATCTCCTGCTCCTTTCGTCCACGAGTCGTGGTGACATCCGATAATGATGTAACGACCTGAAATACGCGGAACAAGTACATTACGGCCGGGCTAGGTACTCAAGTGACTCGCGCTGTATTCATTGACGAGTTCCTCGGAGCTTGTAGGAGCAAACAGGCTAATTCGGCACGGTCGCGCGGAAAACATTGTTCACCTTTCACTAGCTAAGTGAGTCACTCGTTGCCCCACGGTCCGCAAACGACTCCTACGGACAGAAGGACTTGCCAAGAACAAGTCCAGGACATTCGTTCCGTGGTGGTGAGCGGGCTCCGACAGAAACCCCACGGTCACGTCTCCTCTTGACTTGTCAGACGAGGAGATCGGATCACTCTCGTTCCTCCTCGGCGAGGATTGCTGTATACCGAATACCGCTCGTATCCCGCGCACCTGTTCCCTTCCTCCGACGCTCTAGGCGAGCAGCCGATGATGAGCGACCGGCATGCAGTCGTAAGTTGCCGAGTATATGCATGAGCGTGCATGACTGTATCTACGCGGAAAGCTCCGGAGAGACTCGAACACTCATCGATTCGGGAAGGCGCTTCTTGCATCGCGCGTTATCGTCATGTTCACCGATAACTCCATCCCTATGCGAGCGGCACCAGCAGTTGGAGCTGAGCCGCTGCCGTCCGAGGTAAGCTTGCAGAAGGCAGGTGGGATGGACAGTCGGCTTGGTGAGTTGGCGAACAAGCGTGCGGGCATCGATCGGTAATCTGGACGCAGCTGGATTTCCATATGTACCTATTTGGAATGGAGGTCCCTGTCTGCGTCCGCCGCTACGCTCCCAATGCAAACTAGTCGAAACAGCCGTTTGTCCGCTTGTCGGACCGCTCCGTATAGGGATGACCACGAATCAGAAGGACGGTCGACCCAGCCCACTGGAGCCCCCGCTCCGACCTCGAATGAAGGTTAGCAGATGAAACGCGCCCACCGCATTGTATCGTTCCGGGGCTTGTTTCTGATAACACCCTCGCAAAGCCCTTCATCGAGAGAGACGGAGCTTTTCTCGGAGGGATACGAAAAGGGTCGGCTGGATCGTATTAACAACTCGAAGCATTGGATTATTCGGTAATATTGGGGATGGGGCTTTCCCTCCGAGGCGAATTGACGTTCACAGATCACGAAGATTTCCTTACCCGATTCGTGAGTTCCTGGGATGACCCCGATGACATTGTATATGTTCATTTCCCGGAACAGGTTGAAAGACGATAATTGCACCTCTCTGTGAAGAGAATTGACAATTGAGTGGATATCGGTAGCGCATGGGAAGTCCTCTCCCATCGGAAAGAAGGGCTGAGGGATAAAGAAATGGCTTGGATGCCGAAACTGTTTCTCGCTTGTTGCTGCCCCCTTCGTGTGGTCCTATGTTCCTCCTTCCCGTCGATTCCCTGCCCCGCTGCCTACCGAACAAGACGCTCGAATATGTTTCCGTGCGACTTGATTACTCAGTTGGACGAAGTAACTCGACGGTATGAGGGAAGCTGCGAGAAGACAACTCGCCACCGCTGCGTGCGAGCACATATTGGCCAGAGACAAGCTTCCGAGAGGCATGTCCGAACTCGTTCCACTGAGTTCCATCGCCAACCCGATCCTCTCGGTTTGCCTACTTTCGTCTTTTCGCTGTTCGTTTGGTGACTATTGCTTGTTTCTGTTCGGCTCTCACAGGAGTTTGACGCGCTGATTTGAGAGCGAGCTTCCAAATATTTCGATCTCACTTCCCTCTCTCGGGACCATCCCGGGTGCAAGGATTCGCCACCGATTGTTTTCCCGAGGTCGCCGTGTAAAACCCCTACTCCGTCCGGTGTGAGGAACTCTCCTTGGCTCCCAAGGTCTTCTTGGCTCCACTTTGCTGCCCGAAATGTCGTGGCTTCTAAATTGAATGTATCATTAACTCAGCTATCTATACCACACGCAGAACTAATTACTCGCGAAGAGGCGGAAGGAGACCGTAGAGGGACTCATCGCGCCCTCGCTGATAAATCCCAGGGTGCTGGACTCGATTAACCGATTTTACGCTATTCCCCGATGCGCAGGCTAAGAAGGAGGAGCGGAAGTCGGGGGAAGGTCCCTTTATCCTATCGAATAAAGAAGAGCCAGCGTTCAGCCAGAAGGTCCCCGCGGTCCCTCCTGCCGGTGGGATGGAAGAGGACGACGGTGAGTATCCATCCATTCTACGAATCAAGCACCCTAACCAGAGGAATAGAGCATCGATAATAATTGAATGCTCTCCGGGAGACCGAGGAGACCCCAACCCGTGCTAGAGACTCGTAAACATTTTTCGTCACTTGCTCATCTCACGCGTCGTCTAATTCCCTGCTTAACTCCGCAACGGCTCAACGTGTACCCGAGGACATCCGAGTAAAGAGGCGGTCGACGACGGATATGAGACGATTGCAGCAGCTCCTCGGAATCTCTTGTTCCTCTAATCAACGTAAGATACCTACGCGGAAACAGTCGCAGCAACGCCGGCGGCGGTGCGGGAATAACGAAAGCGGGAGCAAATGGCTAGAAGATCGAGCGAGCAACGCGCGGCTCGGATCGTCTGGTATAATGAAGTGCAACAGCACCAGCAAATCACGATTCAGCGTTCGGATCAGGGCTATTACCGTCGTGCTTGATTTGAACGCATCGCACTGCAAATAGCCGAATGGCTACAGTGAATCTCCCGCTGGCAGCGAGCTATCCGGAGCTAACTGGCTGTGTTTGCCAACGTTGGCAAGGTCCTCCTCGTTCATCGCGAAGAAAGTCTTCGTTTTCAAGCGAGCAGCTGTTACCCACCTCAGCTGAGCAATTTCGTCGCCGTCGTCTCGTCGCTGCGGCATTCTCCTCCTCCTCCTGGGCTAGATGCCTAACAACTGCCGACCATAACACGGACGAACGGACCTCTATACGGTCGCTGTTATTGTGGTGCCAAAATGCCTTTCAGGACTGTGTCGCCCGTTTTCTTCAGTGGACGGCGGCAACGACGACAATTGCGACCGACCCTGTATCGTGGCGCGGAGAGCCACAGACGCACGTAAAAACACATGAACAGAGGGTCGGCGAACATTGTTTACGCGATGCTTTCCCACTGACAGCCGAGTCAGCCGCGATAAGCGTTTGCAAACGGAATGTTGCTTGCGGCCGATAGCGGGACGGCTGTTGGTTTTTTGGGCACTCATCAACGAATAGACAAATTACGCAGCGGGAGAGTATCGGAACGACATCTCGTTCGGGCTCCGCACTCAGAGCTCGGAGGAGCCAAAGAAAAACGGAAGAGCCGCGGAAGCGACGCCGTAGAATTCACTGCTCGGTGAGTCTGTAGGGACCGACTGATCGTTATTTGACTCCGTTCAAGCGGGGAATCGATGACTGCTGGCTGGGGAGGAAAACTCCTTGGGAAATATTCCAGGTAGGAAATCAGCGAGGAACTCGATCCGGGTCGCCTTGAACTTCGAAGACCGACGACTCATCCAAAGAAAAATATAGAACGATCGAACGTGATGCTCGAGACGTTTTCCTCGAGACGCGGGGAATCGAGACGACCCAATGGAGGGCATAGGACGTAGTCAAATCCACGCGAGCTCCCGCTACAATCGAGGTTGCTTCCTTCTCGCCGACGAGAAAGCAAATATAGCATTCGAAGGGCCATTCAGAGTAAGTTTCGCTTGGCTCGCGACTGATGGAATCAAAACACGAAGGCCTTGTAGCTCGTTCTGACTTTTTCCCGAAAAAATCGTAGCGGAACATCGCAGCCAGATCAACGTAGCGAGAAACGTGTGTCATAGGGCGCAGACGATTTTCTTATAATACTTGCATTTCGGCTGCGTCCTTGTACCCGGGGCCGATGTTGTAGGAGAGGTTGAGGCGGCCTTGCCATCTGATGGGGGCTGAAGGTCCGCCGATACCCCTGAAAGAAAGAGGTTGATGACAGAATTAGTGAGCTGATTGGATCGATCTTCTTGAGGCAAGGAGTTCCTCCCCTCTCCGGGACCTTTCTGGGTAGCGAAGCGGCCGGGATAAAATCTAGATCTTCGACTGGAAACGCCGGAAAAACGACGATAGAAGTCCGACGCTCCAGACCACCGTACCGAAGAAGAGATCCGTGCTCTCAGCCAAACTCGCTCAACAGAAAATCAACGACGCGTAGCTTTCAAAAGGCCACCGCAGCCCATTTCGGCGTAGCTACCACTTTGTGGTGAGAGTTGTTCCGCTGAAAGAGACCACTGGCATTTTGTTTGACGCACTCAGGTCCCTCCCATTTTGCCTTCTCCAACGACCCCAATCCCTCGCCCCCGTCAGTCAGACCCCTCCCCTCTCCCCCTATCATACCTCTCTGCGAGCACAGGCGCCAAGAGCGCAGCGGCCTCTGAGGGCTACTGTCGGGCCTATGAGCATTCAGAGGGAAATGTGGAAAAAAAGAAAGCCGGATACTATTTATGACTCACTGTAGCAGGTGTTGCGCATCCTCGGCGCTTATGGGCTGCACTGGAATTCCAGGCAGCTGGACATCACTCCTTGGCATTCTGTAGATGTCGTCGGTCGCCGGAAGAAAAGGTGTCACCGGGTCTCCTGGGAAGGACTTGATGTTGCCGCGTTCGACGGCATCGCTTGGAACAGCTGGACCGCTTGGGACCTCGGTGTCGAGGGATTCCGTGTCGAACGGATCCGCGTAGATCAAAACACCTGCAGTTTGATGTATTTGATAGTTGGCTTCGCCTCGTCGCATCGGCATCGAATGGGCGAGCAGCGTTGAGCAAGTATTCGCTCCTGACAGCGGAGCTCGGGCTATCTAGTGGAGCGAGTACAGGTGTTGTACGGTGCAAGGGTCATAACCCCGGCCCCGGGGACTTCTACGACTGGAACGAGCCCGAACGACCGGCAATACTAACCCTGGATGCCGTTTTCTTCCGCTCGCTTAATTTTCGCTAATGTCTGCCCTTTGCCGTAGCGCATGATAGCAATGGTTCCGTTGAGCGTGACTCCTCGGCTTTTCAGTACATCGAAATCTTCGGACTGTCC